GCTTTTAATTCCCTTTGGTGTTTCCCTTGGAGCATTTTTTCTTTATTTCTCCATTTATCAGATGCTTAAAAACTCTGAAGAATGAAGTTAACTAATTGTCCATTAGATGCCTTGGATCTTTCATCTATTTAAGAACGTCTTCTTGATGCAGTTCCTCTCATTAGAGAGACTGTGAGCTTTGTTGTGCACTCACAGATGGCATCCTAGCTTCTGCAGCAATGGGCACTTAAGCTCCAGGAAGCCCTGTTTAGACGTAGATGTTTTAATAGAGCAGGCCACATCCAACCTCTCACTCTTGTCTAACTACCTGCTTGTGATGATCACTTTGCTTCCTGCTGCTCTAAGTGGAGTCATTAAAAGAAATGCAACTTTCAGCACAATTGAGAAAGGGTGGTAACTTTCTTCATTTGAAGGTCAGCTCCACCAAACATTTAACCTTTCTACTTCCATCAATTTAATCATTAGGAAGAAATCAGATAATCCTTATCTTTAAAAAGTCCTAAGAAATAATTGCATCTCTCTCTTTTTTCTCTCAACAGTTGATGGGGGCAGGGAGGGAAGAGTTGGGAAAAATAAACTAAAATTTAGAACATTAATGGTTGTTCCTACATGTATTTAGATTTAGGTAAGATGACCCCAGAACATATTTAGGCATTTGATATGGTAAATATCAGGGTTAGGTTTCTTCAGCACCCCCTAGCCCTCTGTCCTATGTCATAAAGTAGATGGCGAGGATTTTTCAGTTTGGGATTGTCTTTATTAGAACCAGAATATAAGAACTGAGACTTCTGCAAAATGTGGCAAAGAGGTTGAAATGAGCATGGACGATTGCCCAGTTTCTATATTTATTGAAAATGTTACTGGAAAACAAGAAAACTATTTCAATGATAAATGAACCATTTAGTCTTTCTTTTAAAATATTAGATTTATACACTATCTCCCGTTAATCCCACAGGTATTTATCAAGAAGTTACAGGATATATCACTTCTTGGGTGACGTTTCAAAGAAGTTATCCGGTATGACAGCTGTTTTCTAGATTCTGAAATCTATTCGGATAAAAGGAGACAAGTATATATTTAAAAATTAAATGTAGAGTTAGACATGAAACAAACAAAGGTAACTATAAATCTGCATAAGTGTAGGTACAACATTTAATATAAAGTAAAAAATAAACAATCAAGTATAAAGCATATTTTAGCAATATATAGTCAAGATATTTAAGAAATTACTGTGATTCCAATTAATGTCTGATAGGAAATTTGAATATGAAATGTTTATTGAAGAAGCAGGAGAAAGAAATAAACTTTTTAGTTGGAAAACAGTGCACAGACGTTGAACCAGCTTCTTTAATTCAGGGAGTTTTGTGCAAACTCTTATCAGGGTAGACCCTACCTCTTCACCTAGCCCTTGAAGGACATTATCACTTTATTACCCACATGGTCTCCATGACCACGTGTTTCACTTTTTCTTATTTCCATTGTATATTTATAAAATAAATATACCCTCCACTTTCAATAGCCTCAGGGTACAAGTACCAATAAAATTCCCATTGATTAAAGTATTAAAATACATGAAAAGGAACAATAGCCAGCGGCAATAATGATTAAACACAGAAGTATCAAACAAAACAAAATTGTATTAAAAACAACAGCCTCCTCAAATTTACCTTTAAAATGTAGCAGGCCAGCTTAGAATGTAGGGAAAGAAGGGAATGAATTGTAACTATACACAACAAACTGGGCTATAAAATACAACATAACTTTCATTTTACTGTTTGACTCAGTTTCTGGGTATTCTCAGTGTAGTTAGCTTTCCCCTCTGCATGCCTCTGTTTCTCTAGGTGTCAAGTGGGAAGGATATGGTTTATTATCACCCTTCAGGGATGTTGTGAGGAGGAATGAAATAAAAAATACCAAATGACTTAAAAGCTTTTTTTTGTGTGCGTGAAGTTGCTCAGTCATGTCTGACTCTTTGTGACCCCATGGACTGTAGCCTACCAGGATCCTCCATCCATGGGATTCTCCAGGCAAGAATACTGGAGTGGGTTGCCATTTTCTTCTCCAGGGGATCTTCCCATCCCAGGGATCCAACCCAGGTCTCCCGCATTGTAGGCAGACGCTTTACCCTCTGAGCCAGCAGGGAAGCCCCAATAAAAGGTGGACCGGTACAAATATTAGTTGCTCCTAACATTGCTGTCATTCTGACATTTTTGAAATATTTAATCCCTAACTACATCCATAATCTGATAACAAAATCTCCATTTTTATTGATAAACTCAGGTTGTAGGTGTCACATATAATTATGGAAATGGTATACAAATGGTTATAGTTTTATTATTTTTAATACTTATAGCTGGTGACACTGCCAGAGAAGTAAAATGAGCCTACATTCTGTGATACATTGCAAACCTCACCAGGCACATATCTAAAGTCCTTTATTGAAACAGTTAAGTTCAGTCACTCACTCGTGTCCGACTCTTTGTGACCCCATGACCTGCAGCACTCCAGGCCTCCCTGTCCATCACCAGCTCCCGGAGGTTTACTCAAACTCACGTCTATTGAGTCAGTGATGCCATCCAACCCTCTCATCCTCTGTCGTCCCTTCTCCTCCCGCCTTCAATCTTTCACAGCAACAGGGTCTTTTCGAATGAGTAAGCTCTTCGCATCAGGTATCCAAACTCTTGGAGATTCAGCTTCAACATCAGTCCTTCCAATGAACATTCAGGACTTATTTCCTTTAGGATGGACTGGTTGAATCTCCTTGCAGTCCAAGGGACTCTTAAGAGTCTTCTCCAATACCATTTATTGAACCAATAGAGATTAAAGGATGCTAATTTTATGGTAAGACTTCAAAAGCCACGAGCACATGTCTGTACCACTACTTTTCTACCTAAAATATTCAACTCTACTAGATGAATTTATCCCCCAAGGAGAACAACAATCTTATTTGCTTTTAAGCCTTAATTTCCAAGTGAAATTCTAGAGGACTATTCTTTATTGTATTATTCACAAAGTCTGTTTCAAACACTTAGCAGACACTTTATGCACAAATACACTCACAGCATCTGCTCCTCTGACTGCTCTGTATGCCAAGTTCTCATTTCATTTCTTTGGAAAGAGGGTTCACTGTTGGTCCTTATCCTTATTGCAAAATGTATTAGGAGAATAATTCAGTAAAAATAAGACTGACTATGCATTAAGAACAAGGGCAAGAACAATTGAAGAAGAAGTGTTGTTCTCTAATTTTTGTTTGTTCTTTGGCTATTCACTATCTACTTTCAGATAAAATCTACTCAAATACTTTGTTATGCCATTAAATTCAACAATGGAGATAGTAATCACAGCATTTCTTTATTCTCTAAATTGTAACCAATATTTGACTTTCCTATTTTTCCTCTATTGCAAGGTTTCAAAGAAGAAACAATAAAATTATTTAATTAAGGAATGAAAAAGTATACAGTGGTGATTTTCCATAAAAGTTTCCAGTTATAATGCTAAAGTAGACAAAGGAACAATAGTGACAGAGAATCTAGATTAATTAATTAATGCCATTTCATTCTAAGAGCAGTGGATTGAATTCACTTTCTTATCACTGGTGAGAGGCATACCACTGACAAAACTACAAGCATTGAATACCATGAAAATGGCTTACATACTTAGAGCTCTAAAAACTCAAAAACATTTCTACTGATGCCTATATCTTCAGGTTAAAACAAATAAATATATAATTTAAGGATCTGGACTGAAACTGTTAACAGCAATACTATATATAGTAAGCATTTCCTTAGACATTTGACAGATTTTTTTCAAACTATGAGTTTAGCAGGGGTGAATCCCAGCTAAAGGAAAGAAGTCAAGCATCTCTGAAGTTAAGGCCAAGCTTACATGTTGTTGGTCAAGCACTTTGATGTAAAGAATGTTTGTAGGCACCATTGGGCATAAATCTAGATTTTTATCCTACAGTAATAAAGACTAAAATTATATTTTTTATATGAGTCAATCTTTTAGAATATGATTATTCTACAGGTTAATGGACTTCATTATTTTAAAATAGGAGTTATAGCAGTTATTACAAGAAAGTTACTTTAGGGAGATAAAATACATGTAGAAAAAATATATACCATCAGACGTGTTAGAAATGAAAATAAAACATGGCAAGGTAACTTACTGGAATGAAGATAAGAACAAGATGGTCAATGAACTGAGCTCTGTGAGAAATAATAACAATCATTATTCCAGTGAAAATTCTTGTAGCCCAATACATAATGAGAATTATCTCATTCTCTGATTTTGTTTATGATAATCCAGTGTGGTACATAGCGCATATACTGTCTTTCATTTTCAGACTTAAAGAGAAATGGGGGACTTCTCTGATGGTGCAGTGGTTAAGAATCCATCGGCCAGCACAGGACCACATGGCTTTGATCTCTAGCTGGGCAAGCAAAGGCCCCACATGGGATCTGGACTATTAAGCCCACAAACTGCAACTACTGACAGAAGCCCAAGCTGCAACTACAGAAGCCCCTTGCCACAATGAAGAGCCAATGCGTGCAACTAAGACCCGATGCAGCCAAATAAATACAGATTTAGAAATAATAGTGATAAACTGGATTCAGGTATTCACTTCTACTGTCCAAGCTATTGGTGGGGAAATAGTAAACCTCAAAACTCAGCTTACTCACTTGAAGCTCACATTCTCTGTTCAGAAAGTCATACTAATATTTGGTAGATTTCTTCCGACTCTACAAAGAAGTCAACATCTTTAAGAATTTGTTTCCAAACAGTGTGCATAAAATACATACATATTCATGCTAATAGTCTTACATTAATCCAAAGATATTGAAATTTTATTCCTAAAAAGCACGCTTTTTATAGAATACAATATTGATTGGGAAGAATTCAAAGAGCACATAGACCCTAATGGAAACACCAGAGAATATACTGGCATTTAAATCGGGGATGGAAGAGCAGGCTGTCCAGGTGGGAATGGAGTTAGGGTGCTAGGAACACATCCCTTCGCAGGTCAAGTCAGTTCCAGGGTCCTGGATTTGGTTCTGCAGCTCGAGGGCGGCGTCCTCGCAGCCGTGAAAATTGGCCACGCGGTAGCCCACAGTGCCCAGGGCATAGCAGTCAGCGGACACCAGAAAGTAGATGGGCAGTGGCCACAGGACCTCCTGGCAAGGGGAGGGCGGCGCCAGGCCCAGGGCCGCCGGGTGGCGCCCAGGAGCACCAGCCCCACCGCCCCTTGTTAATTTCATCATAGTCACGCCCTGCCCAGCCCCAAACCATAATATTTCAAAGAAGAAATACCTTCAGATGATTTCTTTTCAAAATCAAATGCTGTAAAAGAAAAAAAAAAAAAAAAAACAACAGCGAGGAAGCTTGAGGAGGTGGACAGCGGAGCACCACTGGACTCCTGAGGGTGAGCGCATTGTAAAATGTCCGGGGGCCTCTGGTTACCGCAGAGAGAGCAGGTGCAGTGATGCGACGACTCTTAGGCTTCGCACCCAGAAGATGTCCTGAAACGGGAAAGAGCACTGAAATAAAAAGTACTCCTTACTCCATTCCCTTTTTGTTGTTAGAAGATATACCTTTAGCAGTGCCATTAATCGCACCACAAGTCCACCCACAGGGACAATAGTATCTATCGTTCCTCATAATGTTCTGTCTTGCCCAGTCCTTGGTAAACTGAGCTAGCTCAGTTAAAGGTAAAACTGACCATAGTTGTCTGCATCCGTTTCAGCTTTAGGTAGCAATTATCTGAACACGTGTGTGTGCATGCAAACACACGTGTACGTGTTTACCTCTATTTATCTGTACTGCACTTTTTTTTCCTGTATTGCACTTTAGATGCAAAGTTTTCTTTGCCTGTTCACTTGTTTTATTCTTTCAGTCTGAGATCAGAAAGAATGTTGACAATGTGTAATGGGCTAAAAACATATACTTTTACATATAAGTAAATGTCTTGCAAACATTTCCACAAATGTGGAATTTGCTTTGTCCCCAAGTAAATTGATATGCATGTATGTATGTTTGATTTTTTTTTTTTAAGCACTTAATAAATGCAACAACTGGGGAAGATGTAGGTTTGTTCGTTTAGGCAATGCTCCAAAAGGCGGGCTGAGGGGGACTTTTCTTCCTGATGAAATATGCTACACTGAACAAATCCAAGAAACTTTGGAGAAGATTATATACTCCTGACAGCCCAAATGTGATAAGTATATCAAGATTTAGTGTTCCTTTATTAGTTTCTCTTACAAGAGAACACCACAGCTGCCAAATCTGAATCATTACCCTCATTTTTCCTGATATAATCAGTATGAAAATGGTGGCTACCTGGATATTGCCTCAATGTGAGCTTTTCTAACTAAATATGGTGAGATCCACCTTATTGTAGAATTCACTGATTAGAGTTCTGATTAATGCCTCTTCTTTTATTTCCACTCCCCAGATTGAGATTAATACCTCATATACATACATATATGCCTGAATTACTCGTCCCAGCACTTATTTCTGGATCAGACTCTTTCTAGTATATTTGCTGAAATTTTGGAGGGACACAGGGGTTTCTGGGAAAGTGAAATTACTTCCAGAGTCTGCCCTTCCATCTCCCTTTTATTTTCCATATGATGGTATGTGTGTTCAGTCGTGTCCGACTCTTTGCAACCCCATGGACTATAGCCTGCCAGGCTCCTCTGTCTGTGAGATTTTCCAGGCAAGAATGCTGGAATGAGTTTGCCATTCCCTTCTCCAGAGGATCTTCTCGACACAGGGATCAAACCTGGGTCTCTTGCATTGCAGGCGGATTCTCTACCTACTGAGTCACCAAGGAAGCTATTTTCCATAACTTCAGACTAAAAAGAAAAATGCCCCAAAGCTGTGTGGTGTGTTTATTTCATTATATTGAACAAAGACCCAGTCCAAAACAGTATTGGACCAGCAGCTCAAAATGCAGGTACTCTACATTTTCTGGTGAAACGCTTTAAAAAAAAAAAAAAAAGACAGAAAAACATAGTTTTTATGGTGAAAACTCACTATACCCCAAAATTCAACTGACAGAAAATCTTTTTCCGTTATCTGAAAAGATTTGGCATTAAGTACAAAGACAATTAAGCTGGGCTGAAAAATAATAGGCAGTTCTCCTGTTGTTCACTTCCTTCAGTGGAGCAGCCTGATCCCCTGAAAATAAAATGGGGAAAAAGCATCCCCCTCAGAGACCCAGAAAATTAAGTCAGAGAACAAAGCAGTTTTTTTTTTTTTTTTCCACTGCAAGGGCAAGGCTTTTTAAATGGAGAGATTACTAGTCCCTTCCCTGAGCCACAATCTCACTTTTATCTTACTCCCATTATAATGCTGCATTTGCTCAAAAAAGAGCAGGAAATAGGGCAAGAAAGGCAGGTTGAGTGTCCATAGATGATATTCATGGAAGATACACTTTCCGCAAATACGACACTGAAAGTTTTTCTCTGAGTCCAACATCTTATGACAGTGAATGACATATATTTAATTCTAACTAAAGGAAAAAAAAAAAAGAATGTATTATTTTATACAAAGGTTAAGAAAACTATGGCCAGCAGCCACTATCTCTTTTTTATAAATAAATTTTATTGGAACAAAGGCACAATCATTCCTTTATGTATTGCCTTTGACTTCTCACACTATAAGAGCTGAATTGAATAATCAAGACAGAGACCACCTGGCCATCAAAACTAAAATATTTAGTATTTAATCATTTATAGGGCTTCCCTGGTGGTTCAGAGGTTAAAGCGTCTGCCTCTAGTGCGGGAGACTCGGGTTCAATCCCTGGGTTGGGAAGATCCCCTGGAGAGGGAAATGGTAAATCATTTATAGAAAACCTTTTGTCAAACCTCCCTCCCCATTTATATAATTACATAATCATCTCTAGATGGTTCTAGACTCAGGGGTGTTTATGACTTACAGACTCATTCTCTCTGTCCCACTTCCATCTGTTAGCATTATCATCCAGTATGTTAGGTTCATTCCCATGTAGTCTAGCCCTGAATCGTTACAAAGAATATCACAGGTGGTTTCAGATTTATGTTATCATAATAGTAACACTTGAGAAAGAAAAACATTTTTCCAATATGTGGTGTGCAAGCCCATGGAGGCTTCTGGCCTGACATGGCTAGTGTTCTCATCCTTAAAACTGTTTCCTGGGACCAATGAGATAGAGCAGGGATACTGAGTAGGCCTGTGTTACACGTTCTTTTATAGGGACATGGGCAGGAAGAGGCTAATTCAAACTCCAGTAATGAGCATGCATGACTATATCTGACTCACTAGAGAGTGATAGATCAAGGAGAAATAAAACCCTTGTAAGACACCTCCAGATTAATGGCAGTGGTGAGAAGAATAAATGTGCAGACAGCCCAGCTTGCTCAAGTTTGTAGTTTTTATTTGTTATTCAAGGGGTTAAAATACTACGCTATGTGTTTAAATCCCTAAAACCATCACTGTAGTTGAATGGACACTTGATTCTAGAAATTGGACTTGCTATTGCTCTAAGAGAGAGTTTAAACCAGAATCAAAATAAGAAATGTTAGATTAAAACAAAAAATGGTTCACATATTCTATTCATTGATCTAAAAAAAAAAAAAATGACAGATGGTCTCAGTTCATTTCTAAGGTGAACCATTCAGCATCAGAGTAATTTGAGTCTATGCCCCAACCACTAATGCCAAAAAAGATGAAGTTGAATGGTTCTATGAAGATCTAAAAAGCCTCCCAGAACTAACACCAAAAGCACATGTCCTTTTCATCATAGGGGATTGGGATGAAAGAGTAGGAAGTCAAGAGATATCTGGAATAACAGCCAAGTTTGGTTTTGGTGTAAAAAATGAAGCAAGGCGTAGGCTACCAGAGCTTCATCAAAAGAACACACTGGTCAAAGCAAATGTTCTCCTCCAACAACAGAAGAGAAGACTCTACATGTGGACATTACCAGATGGTTAATATCAAAATCAGATGGATTATATTCTGTGAATCCAAAGATGGAGAAACTCTATACAATCAGCAAAAACAAGATCTGGAGCTGACTGTGGCTCAGATCATGAACTCCTTATTGGAAAATTTGGACTAAAATTGAAGAAAGTAGGGAAAACCACTAGGCCATTCAGGTGTAATCTAAATCAAATCCCTTATAATTTACAATAGAAGTGATGAATATATTCAAGGGATTAGATCTGATAGAGTGCTTGAATAATTATGGACAGAGTTTTGTAACATTGTACAGAAGACAGTGACCAAAGCCATCCCAAAGAAAAAAAAATGCAAAAAGTCAAAGCAGTTGTCTCAGGAGGCTTTACAATTAGCTGAGAAAAGAAGAGAAGTGAAAGGGAAGGGAGAGAAAGATAACACCCAAATGAATGCAGAGTTCCAGAAAATAGCAAGGGAGATAAGAAAGACTTCTTAAGGAATAGTGCAAACAAATAGAGGAAAATAATAGAAAAGACTCAGACATCTTTAAGAAAATTGGAGATATCAAGGGAATATTTCATGCAATGATGGACATAATAAAGGATAGAAATTCTAAGAATCCAACAGAAGCATAAGTGATTAAGAAGAGGTGGCAAGGGCAAGAATACACAGAAGAACTATACCAAAAATGTCTTAATGACCCAGATAACCACGATGGTGTGGTCACTCGTCTAGAGCCCGACATACTGGAGTGTGAAATCAAGTGGACCTTAGGAAGCATTGCTATGAACAAAACTAGTGGAAGTGATGGAATTTCAGCTGTGCTATTTAAAACCCTAAAACATGATGCTGCTAAAGTGCTGCCCTCAATAAGTCAGTAAACTTGAAAAACTCGGCAGTGGCCACTGGACTAGAAAAGGTCAGTTTCCATTCCAATCTCAAAGAATAGCAATGCCAAAGAATGTTCAAACTACTCCACAATTGCACTCATTTCCCATCTTAGCAAGGTAATGTTCAAAATCCTTCAAGCTAGGCTTCAGCAGTACATGAACTAAGAACCTCCAGATGTACAAGCTGGGTTTAGAAAAGGCAGAGGAAGCAGAAACCAAATTGCCAACATTCATTGAATCATAGAGAAAGCAAGGCAATTCTAGAAAAACACCTACTTGTGCTTCATTAACTACCCTAAAACTTTTGACTGTATGGATTACAACAAACTGGAAAATTCTTGAAGAGATGGGAATACCAGACCCTTCTCTGGTAAATGAATATTCATGAATTTGAGCAAATTCTGAGAGATAGTGAAAGACAGGGAGACCTAGCA